GTTGGTGAAGTTGGCCCTAAGGGCCGTACCGTCGTTCCTATGATTGTAAAACGCCTTTATGGCCTCCTTGATTTTCATAAAGGCTGATTTCTAGATTTCTACTATTCCGTGTCCTCGTCAGCACTCTCCCATTGCGAAGCTATATTTTCTTTTTGAACAGATGATATAAATCAAAAGCATGAACAACTTGATGCAAATAGGTGTTTGTAACATAACCTCAAAACAGGGCGCTGACAGGGAACAGTAAAAAACAATGAAAATCAAAGAGGCTATAAAGGCGTCCTACAGTTGTAGGAACGACTGACAATACGGCCCTGAATATAATTTTTTCTCAAATTCGTAAGTTCCTTAAATCTTGTTATTTTAAGTACCATGTTATACAGGGTGACTTTGAAGTTGAGTCATTAATTTTCAGATAATGATTGTAGAAGGAAGATAAACCAAAATATGTGTGTAAAAATAAAAAAAAAATAAAAAAAAATTTTACCTTGTTTTATAAAGTATCCTCCCGACAAGTATTTCAGTGCGGACCTGTATTTGATCGTGAGGTCCCCTGTGAGGTCTTAAGTCACCTGATTCACGAGCCCGTTGTACTACATTAACAAAGGCACGAGGGGTTGGTTGCACTCGATTGGGAAACCGATCCGCATAAACATGTGCCATTTTTTTATTTCGTTTGAGCCACGCAACAGACATTATTCACACGCGTTACTGACACTGACTGTATGTATAACTGAACTGAATAAAATAATTGTAAAAACATCGTTCCAAATTCTTTCGCTTTTTTAAATCCGTTGTTGCCAAACACGAGCACATGATATTATTATTGAGACAGGCGGTACTCAAACTTCCAAAGGGCTATAACTTTGTTACTTTAATTTTACCAGAAAAATGGTAAAGGAAAAAACATTTCTTTTGATCAGATCTACTCACTGTTAAAATAAATGACTCAACTTCGAAGCCTGTATGAAGGTAGATTCCGAGTTATTTTTAGAAATATTAGAACGAACAAAATTCATATTTGTTGGGAATCAGTTTAGCAATGAAAATGAGTAATCTGTGACAAAATACTTTCTATACTGGAAACGAAAGAGTATCGCAAGATATCGTACGGCACTGCTAGCGAGTAAAGTCGGTGCGCGCGGTTCTCGCCGTTGTGTTATACTTCTGTCTTCGGTTTTGGACCAGACTATAGAGAATGTGGGACAATTTACCGGACAGTTTACCAAAGGTTTTCCTTAGCCCTTAATGACCTTAGCTCTTGGATAACAAATATCTCAAACTTTTTTCATAGCAGCCGCGCTGCTTTGTTGTTCAAGCTCTACTTAGTAGCTGCTGTGTTTGTTTTCGTATGGTTTTCTCTCTGGTTTCGCTTTTTTACAGCTAAACCATCTTTTTATACTTTTCGTATGGTCTTGTGAAACACTCTCTGGCATTTGTGTTATTCAGGAAGCTTGAATAAATGTTAATAATGCAACTGAAAACGGTTATTTGCATACTTCCATCTCGCAAACGATCTTTCGAGCACTCCTGTCCAAGTCCGCCCCTCTCTTCCGTTTTAGCACCAGACTATATTGTTCTAATACATTGTTAGTATTCTGTGTACTAAGTGGAATATTAAATAATAGCCCCTCTGCTTTGCCGTGCCGTCACTCACTTTTCAATTTGAGGAACAGCCACGATTAACATCAAGATGTTAAAGTTCAATATACAGTAAATTGTGGTAATCTTGAATTTTTCAATAGCTGTGGGATCCAGACAAAATTTGTCTTTAAAAACTAAACTCACTACTCCATGTTAATTTTTTTGACGTGCCATCTTGACATGAGTGACCTTTAAGTACCCGCCACTGACCCTGTTTCTTTCGGACACTAATACACCTCTAGTAATGATCAAATTAAAGGCTAGCAGCGATAAATTTCCCATATAACGATGCGCTGTTCGATGATGATATAATTTTAAAGATACGCTGGATGGACCGTTAGGAACGAATGAAAGGGGGTGTAAATCAGAATTTTGCGGAGGCAGTTATGGCCGAGAGGAAAATCGCCAGGACACTTTTCGTATATTCGCCGGTGGTTTCCAAGACGTAGTTGCGAGCCAAGGCGCTTTACGAGGATATAGGGAGACCTATCTATTCCCAAAAGGAATCAAATGAAAATGGATAGTGTCTGCTCCGGAAGGACTGATTTTCGAGGTTGGAGCTTTCCGGGGTGGTAGAATATGCAAGTAGGTAATGTCGCCATTGCTTCTTCAGTAATGACGGACTACAATAGAGAATATGTATTTGTTTGTGATTTAAATGTCGGGTATTTATTTTTATTTATAGTCTATAATGACAGAGAAAGCCACATTCAAGCTTATTTTATACTTACGCGCTATAAAATCACGAGTGTTAATAAAAAATGAGAAAAATACACGGCAAATTCAAAATATTGAAACGCACTTGGCCAATCAGGACCTGTATCGTGGCCGGCTAGATCACCAGATTTAAATCCTATGGATTTCTTCTTCTGGGGTGATTTAAAACGACGCGTTTACTATACCCCAGTGGAAACTGTAGATGATCTTCGACACCACAGCCAGTAAATGAAAAATAACATCCAAATGCTTGGGAGAGTGCAGCAAGGATTGATTCGTTGAGCTCGAGAGTGTGTTAGGCAAGCTGGTGCTTATTTTGAACAATTTTTGTAGTTATTATTTCCGTTTATTAGTTTTATGCCATCCTCATTTGTTATTGTTAAAAACCATAGCAACGCTACTCAGGTTAAAAACCATAGCAACGCTACTCAGATATTACCCAAAGCAACTTGATGCATTGGAACTTCTAAAAGTTATGATCAGTTATTTACCGAAATAGTGCAGTAAGTCGCGCCCTCTAGAAGTTTTGCCATAAAAGATAACGATTCTTATTTCTCATACTAGAAAACCTCCATATACCGAATTTTATACCAAAATCTGAAATACTTCTCAAGCAATAAGGAAAAATAGAAAATAAAATTGTAACATTGACACCCTGTAACTCGCAAACTATCAACACTTGGACTGAGGTATCTTCAGGTCAATTCACATATTTTGGTTTGTAGTATCTAAAGTTTCGAGATTTCCCAACGTTTCGCAGACACATATTTAATTAAGAAGAACATATTTCCATGAATGAAGTATATATAGTGACAGAAAATAACAAAAACATATTCCCTATGGTAGTTTAGTATGTAGACTAATCGACAAAAAGGAAACTGTGGTTGTTGTAACTGAAACTGCGATCTTGTATAGCCCTCCTTATTCAGTTGCACGTAAAGAACATACTGGAACATTTGGTGGTAGCACCGCACCCTAAGCTTTAAGTGACTGAACGGATAATTTGACAATCTGTCAGTGCGACTCTCTGATCTACTGCAGCTGGCACTACAACTGACAGACCAGTGTATGTTTGTATAATATTTCATATGATAATTGAAATTGACAAAAACTCCACGCCCCTCAAAAAAAAATGGGAAGTTTTATATAATCCGAAAGAGTATAAAAACCACTGAATCGAACTTTCGGTATCTGTAAATCGCTACTGCAAACCAACCGTATTGCCACTGTGACTGTAGTAGCCACGTGAAACAATAAAACTATTTAAATGGCTTTCTAGGTTTGGATGCTCCATGTGCCTGGTTTCGGCAGTGGCATAAGTGATGTATTCTACATTTTAGCATCTGGCCTGTTATTCAAAACCGTGTACGAAAAATGGAGTTCTGGAGGCCATTTGAGTCAAAGGATGTTGGAGGACACATAACCACCTACTGGCGATTGTTTAAATTTAAACAAGAGAAATATTAAGCAGTGTAAAGTGTGTTCCCTTTCGTATATAAGGTCAATTTGGGCTTTTGCTATTTCACCTATGAATAGAAATACAGTAAATATTTTGTCTTCTTAGTATTCTATCCCCTTATATGTCACTATTGACGTTATCTATCCTTGAGTACGGTGAGGTCCGCGCATATGTACACAAAGATATACAGCGGCAGTAGTAGCTTAATATTGCATATCTAATGACGATATTTGTCTAAACATAACCACCGGTATGTATACACAAGTAACTCGAACAACAGTGTACACAGAATGACATACTTTGGAAGATGCTCCAAACGGACAGTGTGCCAACACGTCTGGATCAGGCACTCAAGAAATTTCTTAAAAACATCGATGAAGACAAATCAGTGAAGCCGATTTTGACCAAAGTAGATCTGCAATCATCCGGCTAAGCCTGTGATGTCAAATCCAGCCTCTAAAATTCAAGCACTCCTGTGCATTATATCTCATAAGGATAATATTTTGAAAAGAGGTTTTATCCTACGTCCCTTATCATCCTCATCGTATAAGAATTGAATACATATAGAAGAAATATATTTCTGTTTTTAATAGAAAACATTTATGGGAAATTAAAGAAATTTTCTTAGAAGAGAAAATATTTCTTATTAGTAGTCCAGGCACGTCCCTGGATTAGTTTGGTCCGGGGAACTCTAAGTGTTTACTTCTAACGATATGGTCACGGAACGTCTGAAATGATAACTCGGTATCTTCACCCGTTCCGTAAGACCCATATTTATAGGAACTTTTTTACTTTCTACCCTAGAAATATTGGCACGTCTTTCTGAAGTACCCTGTATATAACCCAAAGGCATTATATGTGACAATCTGTATAAAATATAGGCTACAAATTGAATTAATTTATAGCTTATAATACACAAACAATTTATGCAATCTAATTTATTCCCTAAAGATAACAAAAATTAGAATAAAGGTGCACGGCCATTGAGAGAAAGGCAAGCGAACAGAAGAGAAGCATAAGGGTAGCGACGAGTCACGTTTAACTCGTGCAACTGGAAGAATCCTTTTGGTTCCAGAAAGACGACAAACCGACACCGATCCATGATTATTAAGACGATATCCCTAGGTGCTCACAGTACCATGGTTACTCAATATTTGAAAGAACGTATAAGTATACTCACTTAAATATGTGTTTGGTGTCGAGCGTTGGTAGCCTGGGCAGGTTGTTGCCTAGCGGCGAAGAGATCTTTTCCTGTTGAGCATTAGATGCGGCAGAAGGGGAGCTGCCCGATGTCGCACTCCCGCCCTTGCTGAGGTCGAGGGGTTGTTCGCCTCCTCCTGCTCCTGTTCCGCCTCCGCCCTTATCCACATCGGTTGCCCCGCCACCGGTACCGGTGGTGCCGTTTCCGGCCACGCTCTGAAACGAGCGGGCTACGTTTGCCAGGTACCTGGATACAAAACAATACTTTAAACAATGGGAATAAACGAAGGACTGAACAGCAGACCTATTTCATTTTACAGATTTTGGATTCCCATACTGTAACTGATAAGCTTCAAACTGTGTGTATAGAATTGATGGCTGGACGAACAGTCAATGTCAAGGAAAAAGAGAAAGGGTAATAAAAGAAAAAAAAAGAAGAACAAAGAAAAACATAAGTCTATTAGTTTAAGAGGAAACACCTAGGCTTTTTGACTTTGCACACACATTAATTTTGAGGTAAACTGAAAACACATTTTGATTCAGGTTTTGTTAGAGTGTAATTTTGGGTATACTAAAAGATCGCGCTAAATTTTAATCACATTGCGAGCCGTGCCCTTGAATGTTTACGAACTTGCTCCATTGTGTATCCCACTGAGGCACCACCTGCATGTGATGGGGGTTGCTGAGGATACCTTGTGTGGGCGCTGCGGGGTAGAGGAAGATACCTCGGCGCACGTTCTGTGTCGCTGTGAGGCTCGTAGCTACTACAGGCAGACTATACCGGGGTCCATCACTTTGGACCCCCAAGACGTTAAGGAGCTCGGACTCAAGGCCATACTCAACTTCGCTAGAATGGCCAGGCTTGAGGTCTAAGGAATGTAGAGGTGCACAAAGGCCCGTCTAAGTAACCTATGCGCTCGCTCCTTATGGTGGCCGGTATGTTTCATTCATACATTCATTCATTCAGCCCACTTCCTTACGCAACAGAGAATTACTGTGCGATTCCGCTTGACTATAACGTCGCTGCGCCTGAAGCTTGACATAATCCCATAAGTAAGAGCATGTCAATGTCATTGTGTCTCGTTTGAGACATACCATGGAGCGTTGCAAATTGTTCGTGAAGTTCTGCTTTGCAATACTTGCCGAAACGCAATTTGGAGTTTTGTTTTCAACCCTGCTGTATGTTTCTGCCAGGTCATGCCTTAATCAAGGATGACACCGGGATACTTGGAGGAACACCGGCCCCTACTGGCTGTGTTGTTGACAAAACATCTTTAATTTTGATCCGAAACTTTCTTCCTTTTTCAATAATTTTAGAAGCATTAAAAAACCATTTTGGATTAGTTTATAGAGAAGGCCCGGGTGCCACACCTTGTCAAAAGCTTTTGAGACGTCCAAAAGCAAGATTCCAGTACTCATGCTGAGGGTGAATCTTCTGGTCACTTGTTCCACTAGCCTGACTGCCTGTAGCTCGGTGCTGATGATGTAGTTAGGATTAGTAATTATGATTTTCTACGATACGTTAGAGAATCTCGTGGTGGTGGAGTTGGTGTTAATATTAAGTCGGACTTGTTTGCTGTAAATATAGATATTAGTGTACATTTTGGCCAGTATTTGGAAAATATGCGAGTCAAAGTAGTAGCGGATAAGTGCGATTTATTAGCGGGTGTACTTTATCGTCCTCCATCTCGAAATATTGAACAATGTGCAAATTTATTAAACGACTTGTTAAAATTAGGAATTTAAGAAATGTCAGTGCAGATGCGTTTCTTTTTGATTATTCTATATTCCGAATAGATGAATTATTCGCTCCATCCAATATCGACGAGAAGGCTTGGACAGCTATGCCAGAAACCTAATTCAAATCATCAGAAATAATTGTGATCGTTTTTATTTTTGGACTCCGAAAATTTGATTATATATCATTATTAATCTTATTATATTTTAAAGTTTTGTTAGCATTATTATAGTCAACCAAATATCCTTTATTTAATGTATAAGATATACCTTAGTATATATATATATTCAGGCGGGGGTGAAAAATGGCTATGCCAATCCCCAGCCCTTTGGAGTATTATTTTTTTTGTGTTATATTATTTGCTCGTATTTTGATTCTATTATGTATTAATACTCCAATAAACATTATTATTATTATTATTATTATTATTATTATTAAATATCAAATACTCAACTGGTTGAAAATAAATAATTTTGTTCAATATCACTACTCAGTTTTGATTCATAAATTATTACCTACGTCTAAACCGCCTTGCTTGTGAAAAAAATCATTTACCAATGATATTCATTCTAGACCAGTTAGAGATAAAATTATCATGATACCTCAGTGTTCAACAACCCTATTTCAACGCCGTTTCTCCTACAATGTTGCTACCATATATAATGATTCACCAAAATTGTATAAGCAATACCGATTACCAGCTTTTCGACAAAAAGTGAAACTATCATTACTTCAATGACTGGATTACACAATCATGCTTTGTTTACTTTCATAACCATTTTTTTGCTTTTCTACTTTTTGCTGTGCTTTGATTTGGAAAGCATGCCAGTTTTAGCTTTATTGTAATAATTTATTACTAGAAATTTAAATTTGTTGTGAATAATATTTCATTCTTATTAACATCTGCTAGTAACTAAACACTAAATTTCGCTATTTGTCTTACCTTACAACGTTGCAAAGAAATAAAGACGTTTATTATTATTATTAACAAGACAGCAAATCTGACAACGCCAGATATCTCAGAAACCTACTTTCACTTTCCACGCTGTTGATATCTACTGCCGAGGGAGTATTGCACTCGCGAAGAACTTTGAAAATGAGGTTTTTTTTGATGTTATATGACATACGAGTATATGCGTTATGAAGAGCCATGTTAATCATTTCCGTCGGTCAGTATGTCAGTCTGAACCGCTTGGGTATTGATAAAATTTTTACAAAAGGTTACTGGCTATGTCATTTTAGATTGTCTTGATCATTTTGAGAATATTTTTTGTAGCGGTTTAAAATTGGTGGTTGTGGGTTGTACAGTATGGGGGAGAGTATATCTCAATTTGTTGGCGTTAGTAGTTAGAATTTTTCAGTCGCGTACCTGTTAGGCATTTTACACATCATAAATTTCCCTGCACATTTTCAACCCACGTGTCTCTGGATATACAGTATATTCACTGAATCAAAGCAGTTACGTCACAACATGAAATAATGACAGTGACGCTACTTGGTTGCCACATTACTTAAAACTACTAGATGCTAGGAAATAAACTACTAATAAACAACAGCCGTTGGCGTAATTACCCGACAATCATTACGACCATGTCACAACACAGAAAACTGTTACCAGCCTAAACGTACCCGGGAAATTCAAACTATATGCACCAATTTAGGATCTATTTTGCAATAAGGTCGACATTTAAATTTACTAAATACGACTTAACTGCTTTGTTTTAGTGAAAGAACTATACATGCGTCGCGGTCAAACCAATGAGTGACAGCCATGACTGTCGCATGGTCAGGCTATTCACAGCAACGTTGCCACATGATTGAACCTGTCGGTAGGACACGAGAGAACTTTGTAGATCTCAAAGTTGTCAAATCTTTAAGAACTATGTATTAAATGTATCGGCCTATTCAACTAACTTGATCCAATTACTTTTTTTTTGTTATACGGTGTCGTAGCTAACTTTTTTCTCAGAGAGACTAATTGAGCTAAACATGGTATTTTCTACGGACTGATGTCAGCGTTGTGTGGGAAGCGTAAGATTAACCTACTTTGATGCATTTTTTGACTCTGACCTGAGAAATCGACATTATTAATCGCATACCTCTAGAAGTTTACATTTCCCCCCCTAAGTAAATAATGATAACGAAAAAAACCTAGGTAAATATTGGACTTGTTCTTGCATGTTGGGTGCAGAATTGCCAAGTTGAGCATTTTGGTTCAATTAGTCGCTTATAAATCAACAACCAATCATTAAAACGCTATATATCAATCTTCTCTTGGAAGCGTCCTCATATGTAATAAAATATGCAACATTCCATTGAATAAATGACAAAGTGTTAGTTTTTTAAACGGACCAGCTCTATTTTATTGCACATTCAGATAGACTCCTCCAAAAGAAGAAGACCGATATACTAAAACGTTTTTTATGACTAGTTGTTGAGTCATTAGCGCGTCAATTTCCAAACACGCTCAACTTTGACTTGGCAGCCTGCTACTCTGCCATTTAGAAAGATAGTGACTTTATATTCTAGAGTTATAAAGTACTCAAAATGAGCTTGAAGAAAAGGTGCCATAATAAATAAATTTCATTTAAAAGGTGTTACAAGATGGCGCTTGCCACCATATTGACTTTACAATTGTTATTTTCACGTAAAAATATAGTATTCATGCGTCGATTTCCTCGACACAAATTTGAGCGACCTAACTTGACTCATTCAAAAAATTAGTAGTTTTGTTTAAATAAAATGTAGCTTTATTGTAAATGGTCGGCGCTCAGTCGTTATCTTGAAATGTTTAACTGTCACATTTGTCAATTACATCAGCCGGAATTTCACCTTGCTGATGAGAAAATAAGTGTGAGTGGGCCTTTCTGCAGTATGCAGACGTACACAATCGGATCGTTCTAACAATAAATCTCTGCTAATCTTGAACAGTCACTTACAGTGGACTAGATTAGTTCAGTTCATTGATTTGATCGTATGACTGTCTTTGACATTTCCTGATAATAAGGAATTTCTCCTTGGGAAAAAACCGAATACTTACCAGTTGTGAGTGAGCACGTTCGCGGCCGCCGCAGCGGGCCCGTAGAACGGAAGATGCGGCGGCGGCGCCTGCCCTGCTACGCCACCACCGGGCGGCAACGCGGGCGACACGGAGGCGGCGCTGCCAGACGGCGATTGCCGTTGCCCCGCCCCAGAGGTGGGCGGAGCCCCGTTTGAGGCAGCGTGCGCGGCCGCGTGCGCCGCCCCTGATAGGGCGGCCACCGCCAGCGCCGCCATGGACACGTTCTCGATGGTGGTCATGGCGGCGTGCGCGGCAGCTGCGGCGGCCGCCGCTGCTGCTGCTGTTGCCGTTGCGCCGCCCCCCCTCGCTTGGACGCCCAGGTGCTGCAGCTGGAGCTGGTGCGGCTGATGACCGGGCCTGCTATTAAAAAATATGAAATGAAATTAATAAATTAGAAGCGTTTTTATTTTTTACTCCATTTTTGTTGCAACCTGTCTTTGAAATAGTATTGACATTCAGTAATAAATATGATATTTGTGAGGACATGGAAACAATATATGGGTGATTCTCGTTTGCTTAAATGAATTTTGTGCCGGCTCCTAGTGAAAAAAAGAATACTGCAAGTACTCATTCAATTCATGTGAATATCTTCCCAAAATAGTGTATAATTTGAAACAGCTTCATCGATGGGGAAATTACTCAACGACACTCTCACTGACTCTCCTGCAAGTCTGTAGAGTATATCTCTGAGAAGATGTGACTGAAAGAAAAATGGTTGAGTTGCAAGATCGCATCTGGATGATTAAGCATATTACTCTGCACGTGTATAAAATCAGTGAGATTTGCTATGTAATAAAATTATTACTGAATATGCTGACCATTAGCTGTGCCAGACAGGTTATTCATGTGTGGTCCTTTCTGAAGAGAGTTTATGTTTAAAGCTATAAATTATGATGTTTGCGTTTTGAAATACTTTGAGGAACATTACGGGAAATCACCACTGCAATTAAGCCACATCACCTAAAAAACAGGAATCACGTATCACACACAAAACATTTTCGCAGTACATCACATCTAGGCGCTGATAAATATTTTCTATTGACATACACAAAATAAATATCTAGGAAATTTAAACGACTGGAAATGAAACATAATGTATAATGTAATAACATTTTCACGTTTCATAAATATTCCTGTAACATATTTTCTCACCTGTTAGTCGTAATTTACTACACCAACAGGGATTTGCTTTCCTTATCTCTCTCGTTTTTGAAATTCAGCAAATTTGCATATGTAATATCTAGGATGGATAAGAAAAAGTAGATACGCAACTAGCTCCTAGCTTTGAATACATCTCAAGTAACTGTATTTGAGACAAGAAACCAATAATGTTATCATCAACAGATTATTAGCACACGAAACCTCAAAATGCATCTGTGCACTGCCGTTTCCATCTATAGTATACCACAGCAAACGTTACATCACATCAGAGCCAAACCATGAGAGCAGAAGCGTCATGACGTTTAGGCAACACGCACAGCTACAGAACGAGCGCACATCAAGTGAACAATAGCTAGTTCCAAGTTGATATCTTGTGGAAAAAACCTGCATAATGTCACAAAAAACCTATATAATGTAAAAAAAATCCGATAGAATGTCACTTTTCAAGATACGAAATACCACTGTCCGTCTTTAATATTTTTTTAGGTTTGTGTACCATGAAAGAGTCATCTCCCTTGAAAAACATTTTCGAAGTTGCTGTGATTAACATACACAGTATATATGGATTCTAAAGAATAAATACTGTGCCTTATAGTCTGTTATGTTTTGAACAACAAATACGAGGGATGTCTTTTAAGTTTTGCATATAGAAACATAGTAGGCCGCGCGGATCGAACGTCAGTACTGAATCTTAACCTCACTCTTTAGTAAACTTAAATTCAAAGTTTCACAACAAAACGTGCAGTGTTCTCACTACAGTGAATTTTTAAGTGTCACCAAGTCATTAGAAAAATGGAACTCAACCGAGAACATTTTCGCGCCATAATTTATTACAACTTTCAGAGACAATTATCGCAACAAGAATGCCTTGCTGACTTACTGTTTGTTTACGGCAACGAAGCGCCACATCAGTCGACAATTTCCCGTTGGTATGGAGAATTCAAACAACGTGGACGGGTCTTAGCGATGATCCCAGGGTGGGTGCACCAAAAACGGCAGTCACCAAGGAAAACGTCGATGCTGTGCGCAAACTCATCATTGAAGACAGACATGTTATATATCACGAGATTGAGGCGTCCTTGAAGATCTCAAAGACCTCAATTCAAAAAATGTTACATGAACAATTAGGAGTAAGAAAATTAGTTTCTCGTTGGATACCCCACCTGTTGACTGAAGAGCAGAAAGCAGCCAGGGTTAATTGGTGTCAAAAAACGCTTGACCGCTTTAATTCCGGAAACTCAAAAAATATGTACAGCATTGTTAGTGGTGATGAATCGTGAATATACTGTTGTGAACTAGAAAATAAACGACAGTGCGCTGTTTGGGTGTTCCAAGGTGACGAAAAGCCAACAAAAGTGATCCGTTCTCGAAGTGTTTCGAAAAAGATGGTTGCGACATTTGTGTCAAAAGCGCATCATATTGCAACAATTCCTCTTAATGAGCAAAGAACTGTTACTGCGGATTGGTATACCACCATTTGTTTGCCAAAAGTCATCACCGAGCTTCGAAAAATCACCCCCGAAAGAAGAATCATCCTCCACTAAGACAATGCAAGTTCCCACACAGTCCAAAAAACAAGGCAGTATTTAACGGAAGACAACGTGGAATTATTCTCTCCATATAGTTCCGATCTAAGTCCTCTCGATTTCTTTACTTTCCCGAAAATTAAAAACAGACTGCGTGGTCAAAGGTTCCAGTCACCAGAAGAAGCAGTTGACGCATTCAAAAATGCCGTTTTGGATCTGCCAGCAAACGAGTGGAATAAGTGCTTCGAAAATTGGTTCGAGCGCATGCAGATGAGTATTAATCTTCGTGGAGAATACTTCGAAAAACAATAAAGTCATTTAAAACTAGCTACCGTGCTGTTTTATTTCCATATGCAAAACTTAAAAGACATCCCTCGTATAGCACATTCATATTTTGTTGTTAGCACAAAAAGTTTTCTAATTATTTATCCAAGGTGCTGTACTATTTGAATAACCCTAATTGTCTAGCCAATTAATTTACGATTTCTTATCCAACTATTTGAACTATTCAATATAATAATAAAGCGCATTATCACATCAATTCTGTCTATGCTGTATAGAGTGCATATTTTCAAATAATCTTGGCGTACATGTATATGTTTTTAATTAAAACTTGTTTAATAGGCCAGGTAGTTTTGTACTGAGTTCCTACTAGTTATAGAATCAACATAAACAGATTGTTTCTAAGTACAAATAAAAATTCAGATTGCGAGCAATAACACTTTTTGGTAGGTTGTAGAAACATTTTTCATAAGAGAGACCGAAGAGCCATAAATATTGGATATATACAGTGCTTTTCAGAAAGACTTCTTCTTTCAACGAATCAATTTAGCAAGCGGAAATTTGGGTCGCGCGAGCATTATATTCTAACCTAAAAATAACAGTTAAAAATTTCAAGAGGGAGGCCGAGTACCATCTTGTAACATCCTTAGAATTGAATTGGAGGTCGTGTGATTCCTCATTTTGCAGATTTTATACAGGGTGGCCCATAAGTCCTTTGAGCTGGAAAAAAAAGGAATAAAACCAAACTAGTTACATTATGAAGAACTATTATATTTTGTTATCATCTTTATTGAATGGGAATTATGTTTTAAAAATCACATCGTCTAAATGCAATCCATTACGATCACGGCACTCATATAAACGACGTCTAAAATTGTCGATGACTGCGCGGCAAGTCAACACTGTAATGCTTGCCATTTCTCTTCGGATATTTTCTTTCAGGACATCAACTGATCGCGGAGTGGTGTCGTACACTTTACTCTTGAGGTAGCCCCATAAAAAGAAGTCCATTGGGGCCAAATCTGGACTACGTGGTGGCCAGGAAATGTCTCCTCTTCGAGAAATTACTTTGCTGGGAAAAAGTTGACAGACGACGGGCATAGAAGTGTTGGAGGTGTGGGCAGTTGCTCCGTCCTGTTGAAACCAGGTCTGCGTATTATAGCCTGGAAAATTCTGCAACGCTGGTGTCAAAAACTCTTCTATCATTGCTACATACCGCTCCGAAGTAACAGTTAATGCGCGACCTCTGTTGTCCTCAAAAAGATAAGGGCCTACGATGCCATGCGCTGACATAGCAGCCCAAACTGTAACTTTAGGGCAGTGTAAGAGCTTCTGATGCTTACGCCTTGGATTTTCGGGGCTCCAATAACGGCAATTTTGTTTATTTACATGCCCGTTTAAATGGAAGTGAGCCTCGTCCGCGAACAACACATTATTGAGCGAAGAAAATCGATTCAACATTTCATTCGCAAAGTTTAGTCTCTGAATAGCGTCATTATCTTTTAATTCCTGCACTAACTGAATTTTGTAAGCGTGCAGACGTAAATCTTTCCTTAAAATCCGCTGTAAAGATGTTCTGGGTACGTTTAGTGCACTGGAACGCTTACGAGTATACTGGGTAGGATTTTGACGAACAGACTGTGCCACAATGTTGATGTTTTCTTCAATACGAGTTGTCCTTGGTCGACCTCACCGCTGTTTATCTAACGTCGAACCAGTCTCTTCGAACTTAGCAACCCAGTTCTTAATCGTTTCAGCTGTTGGACACTTTGTAAAATTGTGTAAATTGTGGTATTCTCGATATTTACGCCGCGCAGTGGTTGCCGAATCATTATTTTGATAAAACGCGCGCACACAAAAAGCACGATCTGCTCCAGTGAAACACTCCATGGCGACTGAATTCCCAGACACTGAAGATACTGCCCCCACCTCGCCCGCGCCCCTCACACTCACCCGTAAAATTTTATTCAAATTTGAAATTTCAAAGGACTTATGGACCACCCTGTATTTTGTACTTCATAATCCTAGAATACTTATAAAATCACTATCTTTGACGAACACGCAGCAATGTTCAGTGCGACCTCTAAATCTGCTCTTGAACGGGCGTTTTTGTAAATTGAGTCACTTATAACTTACCACATGATCATCAAAACCTTATAGTATGTTAATCAATCTTGTTCTTTCCAAAACGTCTCTCTGAATGTGAAATAAAATATGGGAATTTTGAAACAAATTACAGATTTTCCATATTATATCTCATATTCGGAAACATCTTTTCTAGAGAAGGGTGTTCATGTAATATATAATCGGGATTTGATGATTGACTGTGACTCAATGTACTAAAATGCTCAACTTTGACAGCCTGTCAGTCTACCATTTTGAGAGATG